CACATGCAAAAAAAAAAATCAAAACACCATAATTTCCAAATACAAAAAAAAAAATCGCAAAATCAACATCACAACAAAACCATCCTCCAATTCATCAACCAAAATTAGAGCACTAAGAAATCAAGCTATCACTAAGCACAAAGAAATGCATATAATCACAAAATCAAAATGCCCGAGTATATAAAGAATATTTTGGGGCGATGGAGAGAGAATGATCCAAAAGAAGCCAAAGAGCAGAGTGGAGAGGTAGAGGAGAAGAAAGGCAAGCTCATCGCAACAACCACTAGAACCAAAGGAACCAATTTTGAACCAGCATTAACCACTGAAGCTACATAGAGGAGAGCCGAGGAAAACAAAAGGAAGAGGGAGAAGAAAGGCAGCTCACCACAACCACCATCCCAACAAAAAAGGAATCAAGAAGAACCCTAGCCACCAAAGCCACAAAGAAGAGAGGGGAGCATGCAATTTTCAAGCGAGATACAAGAGCATAGAAAGCCGTCAAGGATTGTTTGGGAGGGGGGTAAGGGTGCAAACTTTTCGCGAATAAACACTGGCTACAAGATTGAACCCACGACCCGTGTTCAATGAGCTTTTTCTAAAATGCAACACTGCCACGAATTCCAAACACCCTTTCCAATGTTTCCTCACAGCACCACAATTTTTAAGCCGCAGCAAATACACCAATTCCATTTTTCATAACATCATGTCTCGTCAAGAGTAATGCATTCCCAAATAGAAATTTTGCTTTTATGACCCCAACGAGCAACTTGATGGATGACTTAAAAAAGAGATTTAGCTCTTCAGTTAGGACAAAACATTCAGATCATTCTCATTGATGAACATTAAATCTGATATTATAAATAAATAGGCTCTCATCATAAACTACTTATATCACAAAGTAAAAATAGGCTTTACTTTATCTAATATAGAATTATACTTAATAAATTTTATTGAGTTGGAGCTCCAAAGCCTATCATATCATTTGAACATGAGTCACAATGAAAGGACTAAAGCCATCAGATGTAAAGCGGTTAACAATCTAATTTCGAGCTGAGCTAAACTCAGTTCAAAATTGGCTCAAAAAACATTCAAACCAAATCTGAGTGAAAATTCAAATCAATTTTTAGTTGATTAACATTCGTTCAGCTAAATTCAGAACCCTATTCACATGCCATAGAGATTCAAGAAAGAACCGTTGGCAAGTTTGGGAGTGACATCCTCATGTAGTTACATGAAGCCTCCACACATATTTCACACACATTTTCCCCCAAAGAGAATGTACTGAAATTAATATAGAAAATAGCACAATCTTTTTAAATAATAATAATAATAATTATTATTATTATTATTATTATTATTGTATTAAAAAAATAATGCGAACATCTATTTAAAATGATAGTATGAAATGGACAAATGATGAAAACAAATACATAAATATTAAAAACAAAAAAAAAATTAAAAAAAAAACAAAGCAATACATTAAGATATTATCAAATAAATAAAAAACATGTCATCTCAGTTAATAGACAGAAAAAAAAAAAAGAATGAAAAAGGATAATTCATAAAGACAAACTAAATAATTAGGCCAAGATCGACAATTAAGAAAACCAGGCAATCAGCTGCTGCCTGGATAAGCAAAATCAGTAAAAGTTATCACAGAAACAAACACAACGAACGAATCTAGCATTAATATAGGATATTTACATCGACATAGTTTTCATCAGAGGCCTGATGCCCTCACCTGATTTAACTTACATTAGTTATATATTTAATAGACAAAAACCAAAAAAGAATGAAAAAGGTTAATTCATAAAGCCAAACTAAATAATTGGGCCAAGATCCACAATTAATAAAACCAGGCAAAATCAGCTACTGCCTAGAGAAGCAAAATCAGTAAAAGTTATCACAGAAGCAAACACAACGAACGAATCTAGCATTAATATAGAATATTTACATCGAAATACTTCTCATCAGAGGCCTCATGCCCTCACCTGATTTAACTTACATTAGTTATATAGTTATATAATTATTAAATGTGAAAGTCTCCTGGATAGTAGGCATATATATCAAAATTAAGGACAAATGCAAGGACAAGAAGGGTGTTGAATCTAAGCAAATGTGGCATTTGGAGGAGCAATCCCCATCTTCTTGTAATAAGCCTTCTCCGCATCTGTTAATCGAGTTTGGAACATCCCCCACTCTTTACGGCACCGCTCCCTCACCTGCCCCATTCCATGCAGATTAAAAATCAAAGTTTCTTTTCTTTTGTATTAAAGGACAAAAAAGGGGGGAAATGTATTGATGCGCCGTGAAATTTGTAAAAGAGCAACTCTGACAAGAAAATAACTAAAAAAAAAAAAAAGAATTTTATTGATGTACAAACTGAAATATATGAGATTATTGGTATATTGCCTGATTTTTTAATAGGTGCATGTGTATACAGAGCACATAACTATTATGTATTTACACGTCTCACAGCAAAACTTTCGTATTCACAAACATAGCACTTTGGTGTTTTAGCCCATGCATCAAAAGGTGTATTTCAATTTAAAAAGTGATAATAGTGTCATTTTTTATGTGATATTAAAGATTTGAGTGCTACTTGTGAATATATGAAAATTTAGGGGTGAGATATGTACGCCCGTAAGAATTGCGTGCTACATATGAAAATTTCCTTTTCTAATATAACCGGCACACAGCCTTTAACAAACAGGGTTTTTCTCTCTTTTTCACTGAATACTCAAGCTCTCGTAATCGTATACTTTAGCCTTTAGATGATTTAACCAACTCTAAATCTATATAAATTTTGGCAATGGCTCACAGAAGTTACCAATACCTAACTGAACAAAAGAACGAGTGGACTGAGCATATTTTGATCCGAGGAAATTGATTGGACAATCAAACATGACCCCACAATAATTACATGTCAAATTGTTCATTGGGGGGATTCAACGAAACTGGCCTGATTGAGTGTAGGGAGGGATGTTTTTTATAATTGAGAGACATTAAAAAAAAGAATATGCTTATATATATATATATATATATATATGTTGCTAGCACAAACTAACCGAAGTAGTATTGATGTGGGTGTCAAGTGAGAAGGAGAATCAAGTATCAGAAAAAAAAAACTCAGACAGAAGAAATCAGAGTTCACCCGAAAGAGATTAGAAAAATATGTTTGATTTAATTTAGTCTACAATTCGTAGGATACACAACTGAAACAAGTTTGTAGAATTAAGCTACAAAGATAAGAAAATACATATAAGATTAAATATTCATTCAATTTCTCAAACTAATGATTCAAATTCAAACCAAATTCAAATTTGAAATTAACAAAAAGGATAATTAGTCCTAATAAATAAAAATTACAGCGTCCCACAATTTAAATTATGTAAATTCTAAATACTGAATAAAAAATAAATTTAATTTCTTGGGTTGCAACAATTCTCCTAATAGTGAATATTTGAAAAAGATACCCTTGACTCCTGAAAATTTTCATGCATCTTATTGTACTCACTAAGAACAACCAAAATATCCACAATTTATTATGGACAAATGTTGGTAATATAAATAATTGGGAAGGAGTACATTACTCCTTGTTCTTGAAGGATTGTTGATGAGCTTAATAAGCAACCCTTGTTATTTATTTTCACAGTACTACTGTGATGAGTAATAGAAAAATCAATCATTTCTCAAGATGTAAATGAGTCCAGCTGAGCTCTAGTCACCAATGACTCGAGCATAAATTTGATCAATCAATCAATCAAGTTTCAGCTTGAGCTCAAACTCAAGCTTAATTCTACTAGTTCGAGTGAGTTCATTTATTATGAAAAAAAAAAGTAAAAGAGTTAATCCAAGCAATTATTAAAAAAACTATAAAAATTGAGAAATTAGAAAATAAAATAGGAAATCACTTAATATAATAAGTGATACAAGTGGATATAACTCAAAAAAAGAAAAGAAAACAAAGACACTGAAAATTTTTTTAGATGTTTTTAACTACTTTATACTTAAACTACTAAATTATAATATATTTTATGTATATTTTATATAAATAATCTTTAAATGCGCCAGACTGCATGTCAACAAGTTAGCTATAGTTGGATTTGTTATCTCATTGAGCTTGGCCCACGAGCCAGCTTGGCTCATTAATACCATAATCATTTCCCTTTTCTTTCGATTAAAACATTGGAGATCATTAGCAAATCTCCCAAATAATCCAACAAGGTTAAATCAAAACAATCTACCCTGGTTAATAAGGAGAGATCAGATGCAAATTAAAAAAAGATAACTTTAGATTTGATTATCAAATCTTGTTGTTTGCAGAATCCGAGAACGCGCAGAAGGTATTCAATATTGACTCGCATGGTTATTCAAGACAACATCATCAATGGTGAAGTCGAGGATGGATTTTCAAGCAAAGGCAACTCGATATGGAGAAGAGTTGATAACAGTAAGCAGATGATGCCAAATGGGCACGAGATGGGCGGCTTCAAGCTCATGAAATTAGGACTTCTCTAAGGATGCTTGCTGATAAAGAATCAAATGTGGGGGAAGAAGTCATCGGTAGATGAAAAAGCGCACGCTTGGCTAGCAAACTATCAGCACTACAATATTGAGATTTCAAGATAGTGCGATGTTATAGCAAGTGGGATTAAAGCGAGCAAATGCATAGAATAAACGAGCGAGTATCATTCAATTATGATGCTAATTGATACAAACTAGAGAAATATGAAGAAGAATGACGTATTAGAAGAGAGTGATCAAAAGAGGAGAGAGAAGAGTAATAGAAGTTCGTCACGAAAAAAGAAGATTAGGAAAATATCATTAATATAATCACACTACAATTCAGCATATTGAAACCCTAGATAGTTATGTTAATGGGCTACAAAAATAAGATCATTTATTACAAACTAAATCTAATCGCCACTAATGCAAGTTCAAATAAAAATAAAACAAAAAAATAAAAAATCCTAATATCCCATTTAAAATCTAATAAATTCCAAATTTTAAAACGCTATACCCTAAACCTAATGCATTACAGTAATTAAACAAATTCTAAACTTGAACTAGATCGGATGACACACCAGGAAAAAATCATATAAAAAAACTGAAAGTGAGAATGTCTTAGCAGTAGCGTACCCCTTCCCATGGAGCTTTGCCATTTTCTGCTTGGCCCTGATAAAAACAAGAAAATGAAGGAAAATTTCAGCTCACAGCATCGAACAAATTCTTTTTCAAAATGCCTTCTGGATTCTATAATAGATTATACTAACCTGATTCCCAAGTGATGGAACTACTTGATGCACAATCCATTGAGAATCCACAACTCCAATTTTTTCATGAGCCGGCTGATTTTTTTTTCGATTAAGAAAAAGCAGTCTAGATATAAATATTTGAAAATGATACGCAACATATCTTCAGCAAACATAGAAGAAAAAATTAGGTACCTCCACGCATTTCCTAAGTGCAAAATCAAGGCCCCAGCCATGAACCAAGTCATTCTAAAATATTAAAAGGAAAGCAGATAATTAACGTAGTGACTGAGCCATCAGGAGAACTGCTACTACAGCCTATCCAAACCAAACTCACCTGAATCATATGCCACACACATCTCCATGCATTTCTCGAGAAGACAGGAGCCATTATCTCAACAAATCTGAAATAAAGCATGTATACAATCAAAATAAAAACAAAATTGAAATAACTTGCTTGAACATGTAACATGGAAAAAACACTTCATTGGTCTTACGCAGCACATGGTGGAAGGTGAGGATTAGTACACCAACCAGGTCTCTCTTCTGTCTCCCTGTTGGAAATCATTTATTACATGCTGTATGATTTTCTACTACAAAAATAGAGAACTGCTATAACTACTCACTTGTGAACCTCACGGTCCCCTCTCCTCTTAGTCATTTGCCAAGTTAGACCATTGTTGGGCTCCAAACCTGGTTGTGAGATCTCTAAACCATGCTTCTTCACCAAGTCAATGTACCTAGGAAAAAGCAACATTTAGTTACAGATTTTGATCAATGGAGTTTATATTACATTTACTGGGACTTACCGATCTGCATTAAAATGCTCAACTCCAAGATCTTCATCCCAGATAAAAATATATTCATAAGAAGCAACTATGTCAGGGTGTAAAAAGCGTTTAGCATACCACCTAAAATGAGAACTTAGTCAGAACCATAACAAAAGGAGTAAAGTGCCAAAATAGTCCCTATTTTGTATAAAGAGCTAAATTAGTCCCTGGATTGTTTAATAGGGGCGAAAATAGTCTTCACTTGGAACTATTTTAGCCCATATTAAAGGAGTATGGGGGCTAAAATGACAGTTTTTTAAACTCTAAGACTCCCAAAAAAAGTCGGGGAACCATCTTCACACTTTTCTGTTACAAAAGTTTCAGAACTTGTTATCTATCTATCAATAAAACACTGACCATTTTGTCTGCCTCCTTGCACTCACATGAATTGCACGTTTTGACCATTCAAATTCATCCCATTCACTAGTTCGTCCATCATAATGAAACAACAATATTGTGAAATTTCCAGAGAACTGTATCAAAATCAAAAGTGAGACAAACAGAGTATGAATAAAGACATGAGCATGCGTAATCTCCATAAAAGTAAGATATCAGATGAGTTAACAGAGTGATGTAGGGAGTTTTGAGTCCAAGATCTCTACTGCACATCTAAAATGTAATGCAAACTCGGCTGTGATTAAGCAAAGCAACAAACATAAGATTTCCACTAGAAAAGCAATCCATCAATCTTAATGCAATCATTTACGTTTTTGTTGTAAATTAACATGAAAATAATCACTGAAGCAATAAAAGCTGTTAAAATTTTGTGCAACGAAAACAAACCAAATTATAACAAATATAAACACACTTTCAAAAGAAAACAATAAAAGGGAAAGAAGAGAGAGCAGAACAAAGAGAAAGGGAAATAACAAAGGTAAGCGACACTAGAATAAGGAAAAAGTTTATCTCAAAATTCAGGCGTCACAGTTGTTTATGAGCTGAGATCTTAGAAGAAGAGTGATTTTCAAATCCAAATAGATTAGGCCTAATAACTGACTATATACATTCCTAAGATACAAATAGTCAGAAGTGTCACAAATTACACACACGCACACACAAAAAAATAAAAATTAAAAAAAAAACCAGAACAAAAGAAGCTGAATTCTGTAGGAACCACCAAGTAAAGGCCGCTATATAAAAGGCAAAAAGACCTGCAAGGATGGAAACCAACAAAACAGATAGAACAATAGTTTCCGTCAAAGAAACCACAAAAGCAAATAACAACATTAGCTAGTTTCATGACTGCGTTTTATATAAACATTTTATCATTTTATTGGATAGAAAATTCATTCATAAATAAATTTTTTATTCTATAATTTCATTATCAACTTTAACAATTTATTGTAACTTATCCACTTCTGAAAGTTAGCTGAAATTCTTTTATTTGTGTAGATGACAAATATTCAAATACTGAGAAAAACAAGACTATTTTACAATAACTAAATAATTACAACATTCTGCATTCCCACTAAAGTTCAACTGTAATAATCGAGTAAGCCTAACTTAGAGATAAGGTCTACACAATTCTTTCATGGTAGAGTTTTACCGAGAATATTTGTAATTTATTGACCTGTTGAGGTGTATATAAATGAGATCACTCCTGATTCCATTTTCTACCAGATGAAATGTAAATGGATTTCCAAATGTTTTGTTTCGTCATGGTAGATACGATTCTTCACAATGCTAATATCTAAATAATTGTCGCAATACATCTTCATTGATTTTGTAACAGTAATCCAGAGTTCTCTGAGTATCCTGATTGAGTCCTTCACAAATATCAAGAACCAATTTTGAAACTCTGCCCATGCATTACTATGAGCCACCGTGTTAGTAACAGTAATCCAGAGTTCTCTGAGTAAATCATTATTATTGACACTCCTTCACAAATATCAAGAACAATGTTTGATACTCTGCCCATGCAATACTATAAGCCACCACGTTAATTTTTATTTAACCATGCCACCAATTTTCACCACACATAGATGTAGTTATCTGAGGTTTAACTTCGACCAATCCCGTAACCTACTCAACCTACTCAATAATACTTCAGCCTCTTCTAGACGTCTTCTCAAATAAATTTCCAAAGTTTAGTGCCATCTTTATCACATGATTCAAAACATAAACTGTGTTCCTTGATCAGAGTATTAATAAAATGGCTTACCATGCTAAAAAGCTAATATCTGGTTTACTATGTGATACCATAACTAGTTCAAATAGGGCAAAACGAAAGCAAACTTCATTAAGCAATTGAATTAGGGTTACAACCACAGAACAAACTGAAAAGGAAATACAACAATATCCAATCTCCAACTGGGACCGGAAAAGAAGATTTAAGGGGAGGTGATGATGTCTGCGAGGTGGCGGAGGAGTGGTGGTGGTAGGGGGAATGGAGAGTAGGCGGGGAAGGTAAGGGAAATGTAAGGGGAAAGTCAGTGGTTAAATATGAGGGGAGGAGTGGATAGCAAATGATGGGGTTGGAAGAGGATCGAAGGCAAGTAGGGCCTGCAGGGGAAGGGGTGGTTAGTGTTGTGGGGTGGCCTGAAGGGACTGGACAACAGAGATGCTGCAGTGAAAGGGGCGGCAGGGGCAGCTAGGATGGCCAACAGTTAAGGAAGGTGAAGGAGGAGGGGTAGGGAAGACGATGGGAGAGAATAAAATATCACCTTAAAACAGGATACAGCCGAAGCACCACCAATCATCGGATAAAGCTCAAGCAAGGGAGAAGAAGACTCTAAGAAGAATCTAAACAAAATAACACAACAAAAACTAACCTTAATTCTTTCCAACAACAATTAAAAAGAATCCCTAAGAAGAAAAACACAAGACAAGAAACAAAGGAAGGGCTGGCGCTAGTGTCGCCCCTCCCAAATAGCCACCCAGTTCAACTGGGGCTTGGAATGGGACTTTAGGAAACTGGACGAGACCAATTCCCTCCTCCTGCCAGTTGATTCAGTAGGCTGGCTTCCCTAGCCCCACATCACTATGTGAAATGTAAATTAAGTTTTCAACCCACCTTTGATATCACCCTTTCTACACGGAATGTCATCATTTTTGCTTCTAATCTATTGGTTTACACCCAAACATTCTCTTCTCTAAGAGAATATCTAGAATATATTGCCATTGAGAGATTAAAATTCTCTTCACCAAAATAATTTCATCCAAACAAAATACAAGGGATTTTCGAAATCTTTGATTTCAAATTCTTTGACAAGCTTCTGCAATTTTCCTCAAGATCACATCATTTATATACATAATAAGTATAGCCTTTCTGTAAGTGAATGCATGTCAAATATATTATAATTCACTTGACATTGAGAATAATCAACTTTTTTAATATCTTTGTGCGTTAGCCAAACAATAGTCTTGGGGACTGCTTCAACCTACGTACATATTTCTTGAGTTTACATACCTTACTAACATGAGCCTACGTAATAAATCTCAAATTAATCTACATATAAACCTCTTATTCCAAATACCCATTTTAACAAATGCATCTTCACTTCTAACAGTTATAATGGCAGACTAAATTTGAGGCAAAAGAGAATAACTCCAAAATTGTATTCAAAATTTCTGTAAGAACAAAATATTTTTTGGTAATCTATTCCATAGGAGTAGCAAATGTATTCACTGCAAGTCAAGCTTTGTAATCTATTCATAATGCCAGCCACATTAGGTTAATCTATAAAGATTCACTTACATCCCACCTAGCATTTTTCAATCGACGGATCAAATAATTCCCAGTCTCATTTTTTAGTGGTACATGAATCTCTTCCCAAATAGCTTCCCCCCACTGCACTATACTAATAACTTAATGAATACATTTAGGAATGCATAGTTTATCAAGGTAAGCTAAAAATGCATGGTGACCATGACATAATCTGTTATATGAAACAACATTACAGATGGGATGATCAACACATGATGTTTCCTAGATGCAATGAAAAATCAAGATCTTAAAAAATTCAATATGAGTGAATTCATAATTGGTACCTAATAAATCATCGTGAGGATCTGGAGTTGGATCAAATTTGTGGCCTTGTTCAAATGCTATATATTGATATCTCCTCTCGAATTTTGTTTCTTCTAGAATAGGCGTGTACACAACTAGAACTTATAGATTGGGTGGAGATATGATGCCAGTAAGTTGCAATGTAAGAATTGAAGGGATTGATTTGAGGTTCTATTTGGGTGTTTGAATATTGGCTATCTAGCTATAAATTTGGATTACATGAATGCTAGATTTGAATCATAGGATTTAAATTTTATTGGAAATCTAAATAAGACGCAAAAAAATGCGGGTTGGAATTGAGGTATTAATATCCCAAAATTAAATATTCTTATGTAAAATTTTTTCCTTGAATATCAAATTTGAGGTAAGAAGGCTATTAATCGAGAAAGTAAAAATCTATGTAGTTACATAACTTGCTTGCAATTTGAGTGCAAAATTTATACTCCAATTTTGAGAGCTCTAGACAAAAAAAACAATTTTGAGCTTTAGAATCTAATTTGCTTCAATTTTTAGGAAAAACATATGTAAATGCAGAGCAAAACAAATTTAACGGGGATGATAATTATGTTAATTAATGTAGGACTTCGTAGGGTGTTTAAGAGTTTCATAATTGAGGAGGTAATCTATTTATCAAATACACAACTATTAGAATTGTTTTTACTTAAAAATATTTGGGGATGTGAAAATTAAACATGAGTTAGAAACTTAGAAGTAGGCAATGCATTTTTTTCCTCTCATCAACTCCATTTTATTGAGAAGTGTCAACACCAAAAATTTAATGAACGACACCCTCAACAATTAGATAACCAACAAATGTAGTCTCAAAATATTTTTTGCATTGTTAGTTTTCAACACTTATATTTTTTAATTCAATTTGTTAAAAATTTTGAAAACTATAAATACTTATGACTTTTCTTTCATGAGAAGTGACCAAATGATCCTCATTCATGATCAACAATGACAAATTAATCATAAAGTCCTACAATATTTTTCATTCCATATGGTCTCCTATTATCATTGTTAATTTATGAAATATGATAGGATGCTTTACAAGTTAAATGGGATGAGAATTAAAAGTGTGCTTCAAAATTTGACAAGTTTCCCAAAATAAATCTTTTGAATTCTAATCACTTTATAATGAAGAGTGGAGTTTTTGGAGGTACACGAGGTTTGAATGATCCTACCAATATTGGCAAAACATGATTACTTTTTCTTTATTAGAATTGACAATTGAGTTAAAATTTTAGAAGTAGGCAATGCATTTTTTTCTTCTCATCAAACCCATTCTATTGAGAGCTGTCAACACAAAAAATTTAATAAACAACACCCTCACCCATTAGATAAGCAACAAAGGTAGTTTCAAAATATTTTTTTGCATTGTTAGTTTTCAATACCTATATTTTTTAATTTAATTTGTTCAAAATTTCAAAAACTATAAATACTTATGATTTTTCTTTCATGAGAAGTGACCAAATGATCCTTATTCATGATCAAAAATGACAAAAATTAATCAAAAAATCCTACAATATTTTTCATTCTATATGGTCTCCAATTATCATTGTGAATTTATGAATATGATAGGATGCTTTATAAGTTAAATGGGATGAGAATTATAAGTGTGCTTCGAAATTTGACAAGTTTCCCAAAATAAATCTTTTAAATTCTTATCACTTTATAATGAAGAGTAGAGTTTTTTAAGGTACACAAGGTTTGAATGATCCTACCAATATTGGCATAACCTGATTACTTTTTCTTTATTAGAATTGACAATTGAGTTAAAATTTTTACTAAATTGATTATTGCATCTAATATATGCTACTTTATAAGCTCTCATTTCTAGAGATCCATTGACATAAAGGGATAAAACCCAAGCACCCTTTAGCGCTAGGAACTGTCCTCTTTAAATCTAAGTCCTCAGATTAAGATGATTTGAAAAAAAAAAAAAAATAATACCCAATTAATTTCATGCACAAGTATGCTAATTGAAGAGAAATTGTTACTCAAATTTGGAAAAGAAGCACTGAATTAGGTACAAGGTCTTTTGAGAAAACAATAGAACATTTTCAACCACCTTGAAGAGAGACCCATCCGCAATTTTAACCAGAAGTAGTTAGCATGAGCTGTATGGGTGGAAGAGTATAACATTGATTTCCTACATGTGATCAAAAGCCCCAATTCAACAATCAATGAGCTATTTTTGTTTGTTTGCAGTAAGGGCACTCAAAAACTACCTTTATGAGATATAGAACCACATTTCAATTCTATTAGAGATAGGAGTCTGAAATGATGTAGAAAACATCCTCTATAACAACTCAAGTTACCCCTCATTAAATGAATTTCGATTGGTTGCTGTGTTTCCCTCGATCAAGACAAGGTTTCCCCAGCTTGTTTTGACAGAAGTCATAAATATTTCTAAACTATAACTTTCCTATGTATATTCTAGTATGTTTCTCAGATATGACATGGTTTCTGACATTGGCCACATAAGGATGTCCCCTACTTCTCTCTGTTGTCACTATCACGTTGTTAATTCCTCTAGCTACAGGCGTTGAATTTTTTATCAATGAAAAAGCAGGTGGAAGTAAAATTATCACCCAATCCCTACTTTCTTAGCAAAGAACATGTGAAAATTTTCTTGTATGTAGGTCAAGGCCTTCGTCCGCAAAATTCTTCCTCAAAATTCATCACGGTTCTTTCCCATTATTAAACTATATATCTTCCACAGATTGACCTGACCAAACACATTGAATAATGGATGATGGTTACAGCATTGCTTAGAATCTCTTCAAGATGCTTCACCTACAATAAAGATATCCAACCATTGCCCATCTTTTAAAAGACCACAAACATATTAAGAATGCCAAAATCATCCAAAAAGGATCGCCAAGTCATCAAATCCACTGAAATAAAAGAAAGACATTCACCCACATATTTTGCAAGTAAGCTTTAAGATTTGCTCCCACCACCCATTATCTTTATTTGCCAAAATCATAAAATAAAGATATACTTCTTCATAGTTCATTTTCTGTAAAAATCTGCAGCAAAATAAATGCGGCCAACTATGGTGATTTACTTTGTTGGGATTTAATTTAAATTGCATTTATTTTGCGACAAACTAAATAGTTCATCATTCACACCAAATCCTCAAGTGCAGTTTTTTCAGCAAAAATTTACATCCACAGATTCCCCAATATTACCTTCTACTTTCACACATCTAATATTATGAAATCCTTATTTAAAATTGCACAAAAGAAGACACACATTGAAACCCACCTCAGCTCTTTTCACCAAAAAAAAATCGCAATGAGACTTACGTCTCATTGTCCCAAGCTGAGGTGCACTTCACCTCAAAAAACGACTCTAATTTTTAGATTCTGTTATTTTTTTCCTAAAACAAAGCTGAAAATAGTATAAATATATCTCATCAATCAACCTTCATATCTCACACACAGAATAATAATAAATAAATAAATAATAATTCCATAAAAATTTATATAGTAGAAATTCTAATTATTAACATAGATGTTATTTTAATTAATATTTGTATTATTGATTATTCATTAAAAATAGAAAATTATTGGTTTTAAAGATAACAAGGAGTGAGAAAATATATTTATGACTAAAGATAACAAATGAGATAAACAATTCATTATGTTCATGATTCTAATGATAATCAATTAGGTGATGAGAGTAAAAGAAGCTTTAAAATTAAAAATTCATGTGTCAATGATTTATCATATTATCGAGTAGTCTCAATGAGAGAAAGATTGATTAATGTTGAACATATTCTTATTGCTATGTTTTGATATTTTAGTATTTTATTTTAATATCTTAGCTTACTTCGATAGTTTAATGTTTGTATAACCCATCTTATTTAATAATTCAATATTAGGATATTAACGTGTTACTTCCAATTTTATGCAATTTATTACTTTTTACATAGTTAAAATATTATATTACTTTTTAATGTGTTAATAAATTATAATATTAATATATTATTCTTAATGCACTCCTTAAATTTTATACATTATTTATTAATTTACGTAACTTTTAAATTTTTAGGCTTTTGAAAATGCTTTGAGCCTTACGCCTTACCTCGCTAATGAAAAAAGTCTCAATATTCAATTGCGCAATTTTAAACATTGACTAAATTTTACTTTTGGATGTAGTAGATGGGGCTTATCATATTAACTACATAACTGCATCAGGCCTATGAACATTATATGTGTGGGCGTGGACATTATTAATGACATAATAAACAAAATTAACCACAAATAACCTATGTTTACCTTTTTCACTGCTGCGTCAATATTGTTTTTCTGTTCATATCCGACTGTAAACGTTACTAGATACTTCTGCTCAAATGGTAGATCCTGAAACAGTGATTAAGACTGGTATTAGATTAGCAAGAGGAAGACATCAAACTGCAAACTATCATGCAAAAAATCACATAAAACAACTAAATCATAAGCTTAATATGTTTTGGAAATCATAGCCCGGAAGAAAATATTAAAAATAAGGCAATGCACAAATGCAACAATTGTTATCGTTGGAACAATGTTTCTGTGGCATTTCACAATGACACAACAGTGGCAAAACATGGAAGAAATTCTCATATATGCATTCAATAAAGTTTTCTAAGAATCCATCATGAACAAACATTTTATGATTTCTAACACAAGTTAAAGATAGATAACCATACACATCGCTAAACGGTATGCCATTGTTGAATCCCAATTTGTCCAGGAGGCACACCCAAAAGATTTGAACTTTTAAATGAAGTGAAAAGGAGAAAAAGAGAGAGAGAGAGAGAGGAGAAGATAGAAGAGGAGAGAGAGGATGAGAGAATGCAAAATAACTCGCCCTTATGAGGCAAAATGGGGTATTCTTGTGCTCTTGTGACCCTTTTTATACAATTGAAAGCAGAGTGACGAGCCTAGAGCGGCTTCGTATACATAGAGAAGGGGGAGGCAAAAATTCCTATTACATGAAAATACATATCAAATTATAGGAGATGGTGAGCAATGAAAGAAAATCACATTTATAACCCCGCTTTATTTTGGGGGGTTGTATGGATTGTTTTGGTAAATAAACCCGTGTGGGCCAAGGGTCTTGCGGGTCACTAGCTCGATTTGGTCAGTCTTGTCAGTCGGCCTTTTGGACGGGGACCGTTGGTTAGTCGGTTGGCACTTCAGGCATCGGAGACCAAGAGGATTCTTGGAGATAGTTGAGGAGATGAGTTCGTCCTGCTGATATGGCCGACCGGATGAGTAGAGCCAGTTGTCAGCCCTTGATTCTCGCCGGGGGAATTCTTGTCGGATGAATAGACATTCCTCATGCATGGGATGTCTTTTGAATGTGTATTGTTGGGTCGGTTCAGATGAATACGGGGCTAACATGAGCCGGTCAGCTTTCCGGTTCCCTAATCGCTTTCCGTGAAATGTGTGCATTTTGCATTAAAATATAATTAAAAAAGTTACAAAAAGAGCTATAAAAGCTACACAAAAGACGTTGTGTGGTTGACATCAACCTCAACCACATATAAAAAAAAGGGTCACAAGTGTGAGCATCCCAGACAAAAGATCTATCCAAAGCGAGCCTAGATGCATTGTTACATTCTCTGTGGGAAAAACAGAAAGTGGCTTGCTTAAATTCAGTAAGAAAAGAAATGTCGAGTGCCAAGTTGTTGCTGCCATACCTTGGCCTCCATGCTTTTTTGGAAGTGCATAATGATTGTCTCGTTGTTGCCTTCAATAATGATTTCTTTAGTTTCATAAATCCAAGGCCCCAACAATAAGCCAGGGGATAGGACCGCTTTATGTTCCACATGCGAACTATCCCAATGTATAAGAGTGTGCCCCATCGCTTTCTTGATATGTTCAAATTCATCACAGATCACTATCCCAATCCCCAGTTGGCCATTGGGAGAAGTGCACCATCAATACGGCGCACGCGCGAGCGAGAGGAGGGGGGGTATAGGCGGCAGCGGGGTTGTGTGGTGCTACCAAAAGCATGAAGAGACTAACAACCTAGAGGGTCGAATGACACCCCTTTGCTCCTTGATATAAAAAGTTTTCAATTGAGTAAGTGTTCAAGAGTGTAGTAGCAGCCATCACGACATACGTCCCATATGGGCGGTTATGTTTTTTTGCATTGCGAGCACACCAACTATGGTAGACATTATAACAGTAAGTTCTGCCATAAGCAATACAAGAACGGGGTAGGTGACGCAATTCAGAGATAACTTTATCAAGGGTGCCAAAATCTAGAATTTTGATCCCCCACCTAGACAAGCATTGAGAGATTTCCCTCAAAACCTTGCACTTCCTTATAGCCCCATTGGCAATAAGCATCCTCAAATATTGCCCTCTAATGTGGGTCCAACATAGTCATGTCATTCTCTTCTTGGGATGTGGAATTGCTTCGAGATTCGTGCTAATATATTTTTTATATACATATTTAGTTCTCTGATTCACTATCTTTTTGAAAGCGACAGCTGCAATAAAAATAACATAACTCAATACAAAAGTTGAACAATATTTAAGATTCCTTAATAACACAATAATTGAACTCTCCTTGAATTTTGTGCTTGCAATTCATATAAAAATGGAGTAAGGGGTGTGTTTCTCTAATCTTCCTTTAGTTCTCTTCGCTGAGTTTGTCTGGACTTCGATCGACAATATGGTGAACAAGTCGCCCTCCAAGCCTGATAAGTATATCACAGCCACCAACCGGGAGGCTTTCGAGAACATGAGGCAGGAGAGTGGATACCTCCCGTAAGGGAAGCGGAGAAAAGAAAATATTGGCGAAGAAACGAAAGAGAACCGATTTGGAGGATCAGGTGGGGTCGTCAGAATCACTTCTTGGTTGCCCCGGTGAGATGGTGTGGGCGGAGAAAAACCACCCGAGAGGGGGGGGAGCAAGTGAGAGAAAGGTCGTCTGGGTGATGCGACCCAGATGGAAAGTGGTCGTCCGAATAAATGATCGGTCGATCCATCGGCTTCTGCTCAGACACCTGTACTTCTATCTGGACAGCATAGCAAGCAGCTGTTGCTACTTTGGCAGCACCAAAAGTAACTGTTGGGGGGACCGTGCGAGAGATGGCTAATGCCTCTGCATCGTCGAGCGCACAGAGTGTCGCTAGCCTCCCTCCTCCAGTCGCGGGACAGAAGAATGGTGAGGAAGTTCTCAGTGAGAAAGGGTGCTCATTCACCACTTTGTAGTGGGATCGAATCATGGCTATGGAATATGTTTGCTGGGTAAATTTTTTTTTTTTTTTGAATCTTGCTTCATATTGTTCTTTGATGTAGATAACTCCATCACTAGAGTGGTGTCTGTTGACTCCCCTTCGGGGGAGGTTTATGTTGATCTAGTTGCCAAGGCGAATTGAGGGTCTACCAAAGATACTCCACGCAAAGCTTAGGCTGGAAGTAATTGTCCGAGTCTCCTGGGGGAGGCAAAAGCGAAGAAGGTTGGGAGGCCAGAAACATCCTGCAAAAAAGAACGCAGGCTGCAGAAAATAAAGGGTTCGTTCATCCAGGCGGTCGGATGTCCTCAAGCCAGGGAGATGCACCGGCTGGCGAAGCAGTTGGACCAGTTGAAAAAGCTGGAGATGGCTGACAACCGTGCTCTCGGCTAAAGCAGTTGCTGACTATTTTGTAAAGCATTTACATGAATAGTCGTCGAGCGCATATGTAAATATTTTTTTATTTATGAAATAAAAATTTATATTTTTTTGTCTCGAATTGTGTGTTTAACTCCCTTCCCTGATTTTGGGTGGCAAATGACGTTGTTGCCCCTATTATGGTTAGACTTCCTTCCGTTGTCTATAAATAGGGCTGAGAGTTCTAGAAATCCTCGCATAAAAGTGTCGTTTCCTTGAGTTCTTTCTATTAGTTTATTCTCTCGACTGTTTCTTTCTTCATCTCATTTTCATGACTCCCAAGTACTCGCAAGAGATCTTCGGCTCTATTCCATCTAAGGAGGTTTTGATTCTGTCGAAGGGCCAGGTGGAAAGCCTTCAAAAGTTTTATGTTTATAGGAAGTCTGTGGATCTAAGGCGATTAGTAGAACTGACCGAGCGACAAATGTTTATGGGAAGAACTTTGTCTTCTACCGAGACAATTTCGTGTGGTTTGAGACAGCTTTTCTATTGAGAGTTGTGGGCAGTTCTTCCCCGCTATGATATCATTCCAACACAAGTGATGCCAAACTCAATCGTTTTCATCATGATCTTCATCATTTTTTTTGGCAACTGGCTATCCCGTGGTCGACCGACCATTTTCTTATTTCTTCAACTTCAAAATCGGTCGGGACAGCTATTCAATTTTCTCAATGGGACCCAGTCTCCAGCCCGTGAGACTTCAGAACAAAATCAAATACTACAAGCTAAAATTTCTGGTCAGTTCCAGTCGAGGAAGCTGGGGGGTCAGAGTCCGGCCAGTTATGTGCACCCCAAAGAAAATTAAGAACCTTCTAAGGGACCTGAGAGAATACAGGGAGATGACTGAGGGATGAGAATTGTCGGTCCGCCAATATTTGGACTCCAAAATCCTAAAAAGGGTTCTATGGTTGTAGGCTTTCGAGGTTATGACCGACGAGGCGTGGGCGGCCTCTGATGACCGAGAGTCGAAGTAGAACGAAAAGGCTGCAATAAACGTGGTCGGAAAGAAGTCAAGGACGCAGGTTGTCCACCAAGAGGGCATTGTTGCTCCCCCACTACAGAAGTTGTCGGTTCCTGCGAGGGCCGACCCAAACGGTAGAACTAAGTTCTTTTTAACTTTGAAAATGACTTAGTAATTTTTGTATTTGTTGGAGAGTTCTTGCTAATTGGAGGGGTTTCTTGTCAGGTGCTAGGACTTCTAGCCTTCGCCAGAAGGACTCTCCTAAGACGTAGAGTTACTTTCAGTTGAGCGGAGAGGACAAGGATGAAGCATCTCTGCAAGGAGTGGAGGTGGCCAAGCCTTAGGTGATCCCTTCATCGATGCCAAGTCAAGGGGTTATGTGAGCTAAGCGTCACCCATACCTCTATCAGATTCCGGCACCGAGGTCGATGACAACACGGAGTTTGACAGCCAGGAGGAAGGGATGCCATCTAGATGGAAAGGCTCCTATTGAGACATCTCCTCACTTTCTCCTCCTTGGATAGAATGAAAGGGATTCTCCTCCAAGATGGGTCCATCGAGAAGGGTACCAATGTTTGTGTTAAATCCGGTATCATCTAGTCACCTGATTTATATTTCTAATGCTATTGCACTTATGAGATATTGGTAATCTAAATTATCTATTCATTAACTCTACAGTAAGAATCCCTAAAATAGAAGAGCTTTTGGGTAAAAAATTTCAAATTTTATAGACTATAAAAAAGAAAAGCGCAAAAATATATCATCACTTTCCAAACTATACCGGACTTGACATTGGCATTTTGAAATAAGGTCCTTCGAGGCTACTCTCTTCTAGTGTTGGTTCATTTGTCACATTGCTGCCCTGTTGAGGTATTTTGTTTTATATCATCACTTTCCAAACTATACCGGACTTGACATTGGCATTTTGAAATAAGGTCCTTCGAGGCTACTCTCTTCTAGTGTTGGTTCATTTGTCACATTGCTGCCCTGTTGAGGTATTTTGTTTTATAATTTTTTTAACTGATAATGTTATGCAATTACTTCATGTTTTACTCTTTTTTATTGACTAGTAATACATATATATTTTGCTTTAAAAAAACATCTAAGTTTTTTTAATACAACTATTATGATATGATATATGTAAATCTTGCAAGGGAACTTGAGAATCTGCATATCACAAATCACTAAATAAGCTAATAAATTATTTAAATTCAAATGTAAATACAAAAATTAGATCAAAAAAATAATTTACTGATTTAATAAATCTAATAAAATCAATAAGAAATTTGAACCACAAAAAGTCAGCGAGCAATAGTAATTAAATCACCATAAATTGAGTTCCATTTGTGCCAAATTTAAACAAAATTAAAAGCACTAACAATTCAATAACAATTTATGTTAAAAAAAACTAGCTCAAGAAAAAAAGTTATCAGTAAGAAATAGTACTCTCATGCCAGTACAAAAAGATGACTTCGTCCAAAGCTACATGCCTTAGAATAAAGACATTATCCCTAGGTTATTAAAAAAAATGCATATATTTTTTAGCCCACCCTAAATTCCAAAGGATGGGATTTATTATGATGTGGATGAGGTTTGAAATCAAAACCTTGGCAATAACTTCTAAAGCCTTGCCAACCTGAATGGCTAGATAATATATATGATTGGCACAAGAATAGTCCAGCATGATTTCGAATAACTATCAAGCTCAATGTTAATCTTATCCAAAATCCAAAGCAACAAGGATTATATAAAGTACTTGAGCAATTACTCTAGTGAACTGATACCAGAAATTGAGCAACTATTACATGCAAATGCTGTTAACTGAATGCACAACAATCATATAAACAATATTGGGAGATTGAAGCACCACCATTCTGCATAATCTTCAATAGAAATTGTTGAATGCAGAACAAGGCAGAAGCATAGATTAATGCATGTTAAGTATTGTTGGATCATTCTATCCTATCAATCATAAGCCCTTTTTTGTTGCCAAAATATTCAACAAAACATATTCTTAAATGAAAAGATAACATGAATAACTGAATGCCCATACCTCACTTGGATTACCCCACAAACGGCGTAGGTACAAGTCTGATTCAGGCACAATTATTTCTGGCGCTAGGCTTTCTGCCCCTTTAGGATTCGTGGAAACATAAATCTACACAAGAAAAAATTTCAAAGATAACAGTCAGCAAAAAAAAATTTTAATAGGACGGCATAAAAATAGACTGGTATCACTCTTCGATAAGGAAAATGTCAATAAGATTAAATACTTAAAATAATAGATCCATAGATCGTTCATATCTTGAACCAAATGAAAAAACTCTACTATCAGACACTGTAAGATCATCAACAACAACTGACAAGTATAGATGACCTATCTATTTATTAATTAGATAAATTTAACAATTTGCAATTCTTCTCCACCATTATGCCCATACTGCTCAATCCATATTCAAACACAAACTACAATATTTTCTATCCAAAAACCAATAAAAAGAGACTCCATAACAACAACTGTTTTAACAGTGACGAGAAAATCTCAATAAAAATGAAGATGTAATATATATTCTCTAGCCAACTTGAGGAAAAGGTACAAAGAGAAACTTAAAGAGATTCTTGAATAAGCACTATGCAATAAACTACACGACCTAGGTGGCTATAAGGGAATTACCCAAGATAAAGATTAATTAAAAATCATCTAACAAAAAAAACCTAACATCTAATTATAACATTACTGTTTTTATAGGCGAACATCAAGCAAACTTCTAAAGCCCACTTGAATTGTTTTCTAAGACATGTAGCACACGCTTCCCCATTTAACAATTTTCATAATTGCCAATTCAGACTGTCAAAACAACTTCATGCAGAAAATACGGATCATTATACAACACTTGCAAGAGATTTAGCCCATAAAAAAAAGTCTGCATAAAAAGTGGATCAGCTAAGCTAGCACTTAGAAATGAAATGGTTGACTTAAAGTTAGAATATTTTTCCTGAATTTACTTTCTTAGGAAGTAGTCAAACTTCTCAGGTGCGGCCACTTGGCTTCTAAGGTTATCATGGGATTATACCAGCCCGAGAAACCAATTGGTTGATGCTTCGAAGATTGACAGATTCCATAGAACTACAATCAAAGAAAAAAAAAAAGCTAATGATAAGAAAACTATTTCATTGATAACAACCCAATAATAATGAATAGCCTTCAGCTTAATAAATGTCACAATACCTAATCCTGTTACATGTCATAATGTACAACTACAACAACAACCACAAGTCTTCATCCCACTAAGTGGGGTCGGCTAGATGAATCCTTTTTCTCCATTGCTTCCTATTGAGCTTCATATTTTCATTTAATTTTAACATATTAAGATCATTTTTTTATAAAATATTCCCAAGTCTTTTTAGGTCTACCTCTACCTTTCTTAGCATAAGTCGAATCTAAAACATCTACTCTCCTGATAGGGTAAGATACTGATAGGGTAATCAGATGGTCAACGTTTAATGTAACCAAACCATCTAAGACGACTCTCTAATCTTGTCTGCCACTAGAGCTATAACAACCCTATCACGGATATATTCATTTCACATTTTGTAAGGGTCAAGTCACTCATCCACCTAAGCATTCTCATCTCAGCAACACTTAACTTTGTTTTATGCTTCTATTTAAAAGGCTAACATTCTCCGCCATAGAGCATTGCAAGTCTAACCACTATCTTATAAAATTTTTCTTTCAGTCTAAACGATACTTTTCCATCACATAATAGGTCTGATGCATTCCTATACTTCAACCAACCAACTTAAATTCTACTAATAACATCCCCATTTATAAAACCATTACTTTGAACAATAGACCAAAGATATCTAAAACAATCACACCTTTTAAAATAAAAAGGATAAAGCCCAAACAACGATTAAAGTAGAAATGTTGCTACATGACATAGTATACGACCAGAAAAAAAACACCCATTCCTAAAAACAGGCAAAACACTCAAGTTCATTTACTTGCAGTCCAACTATGTGTGAAATTGCCAGGATTTATGGTGCCGCTTATCTACAAATACTGAAAGAAAAAAGAATTCAAGACAACTTGACATGATCAGATAATTTGCGAGGACAGCTCTCATGAATAAGCAAACAAAATAAGCCCATGAGAAAATCATTTCGGTTGAAGAAAGAAACCTTGGAAGTATTAGTTGAATTTAACAAAGAATTGTTTTGATGTGTAGATAACCAGGCATGATTCAGTAAGGCTTGGGTTTTGATGCCAGAATTCTTGTCTTCATTGTAAGAAGCAATGCTAGAAGGAAAGTGAAGCTGCAAAAAGAACAGGAATGAACAATATTATTTTGTGTTAAGGAATAGCAAATATCTCAAAAAAAAAAAAAATGTCTTACCTTTGTTATGTTAACAGATGGGAATGAAATTCCAATAAAAAAGCCAATAAGGAATCCAACAAACGTGGTCATGATGAGTCTCAAACTATCATTTGTTTTCCTAATAAATCCACTGCAAAATATAAATCTATCAGTATTCTAATACAGTGAATCTTAATCAAAGAAGGATAATGCAGTAGATAATTAAGATAAGAAATAGTTTAGGTTACTATTGTTTATAAACCTGCGTCCAAGTGTTCCAAGCTTTGCCATGAGCTTTGAATTTTAAATTTACAAAGTGAGTAAATTTATACGACAAAGAGCTACACCACATTGTTCCATAAGTTCATAATTTCTAATTCTTCACTAGGCAGACAGTGACCACCATGCCAATTAGTACAAAATCTGCAATAAAATAAATTAAAAAAAGTCGGATAAAAGAAAAGGACCATTGGCAAAAAATCAATATTCATTTGGAAACAGAAAGTAATAAATTGAAAAACAACTTTGAAGAGAAAGACATCCAATCTCACTTTACACCATCGAAGCTCCTTTTCCCAAAACCCATCTTAACCGAACAACAAAAGAACATAGAGGATAAGAAAATGAAAATTTGATCTGAGAGAAAAATCAGCCAGCTTTCAACCCCAGAATATACTGCTTGGCTCGAGCACAACACAAATATTAAATGAGTCAGAAAATCTGAACCAAACCCAACCCGCATAACTCATTTAACATATGCATACTAGATATTGATATCAAATTCAGATCAAATTCAGGAAAAGCTCAAATCGGATTGGGGTCAATATTGAAGGGTCAAATTCAAGTCGATTTCAGGTTGGCAGGTCAAATTTAGGTCAATTTTGTGTTGAGAGGTCAACTTGAAGCTGACTTAAAAAAATAAACGTGTTGAGATTCTTAACCCGAACTCGACCCAACTCTGAAAAATTAATTAGGCCACCAAGAACAAGGTTTGTCAAGTCGTATTTAAGTCGAATTAAGTTGAATTGATATGTCGAGTCAATTTTTGACACCCCTAATAACAAATGCACTCCATTCGAGTGATTTGTTATAAACTATTACCATCATATCCCAATTATGTCCAAAGCCAAAGTATTTTTGTATGGCTCAATCTATGAGAGTTGTGAGTCATAAGAGACCTAATAGCACAAGAATAAAAATTTCAAAGTCGACTTAAAAATTAACCCCTTAAACAAACATCCATCCCAATTCTACGAGGTTCTCTTGGACAATGTAACCTAATTATTGATAGTAATAATTCTTTGATAAAATTTGAACAATTATCTCTAATAACTATGTAAACCAAAGTCCATGACAATCCAGCATGATGACGAAAGCATGAAATTTTAAATAGTTTTGTCATAATTCCCACACCAATTGATTTAAGCCAACAAAGGTTTATATGATTTTCAAAAGCAACTTGTTGCTACTATATGCTAAGTATTATAAAGGTTATTGACAAACTTTAATTGACAGTTATCTCTCATGATCTAGAGGGATAACTAGTCAAGGAAATTTTTGTCTATAGAAAACCATGAATCATATAAAAAATTTCTCATAAAATGAAAGAAAAGTCCCTATGTAGTATCTTATCTAATATCCAAAATATCTTCTAAAAATTTACCCTAAAGTACTCATAAGTATTATAATAGAGTTGGGTGATTGAAGAGCATATACATATATACTTATTTAATTGGAGCATAATGTGAGTGAATTTTATATTGTAACATAGTTTTAGCATTATTGATGTTATATGATTCTTATTTCCTATGTTACTTTGGCTTAAGTTTCAATCTTCTTCTAAATAATGTTATTTAATTAAATAAAATGGGACATAAAATGGTGACATAATTTTCTATCTTATGCTTCAAATCGTTTTGATACAAGTACTAGGTTTTACTAATTATGCTGCTCACTGTGAGTGAATATGTGTTAAGTTCTTTGTATTTGGTTCATTGATCATAAAAGTTAGTATGATTAATGGTGAATAAATTAACGTGAGTGATTTAAAATCACAAAACCTTCTAAATCCCTTCAAATCCACAATCCTCTAAACCGCCACCAAACAACCCAGCTATTTAATAGGAGCGATGAAACAGGGCAATCAAATAGTTCTCAGAATTTAAACCATCAGGATTTACAAAATCCTACTCGAATAGGATTTGTCAAATCCAGATTTGATAAATCATAATTTGTCCTAGCAGGCTCCAAAAGTTTATGTTCTTCACAGTAATCATAATGCAACAATTTTACAACATTCACTTCAAATTTAAATAACCCAAGTCATATAAATCTGATAATTAACTAATTCATTCACTTCATAGAAGTGCATTCTATAAAGTACGAACACTCTGAATAGAATAGCCAATCCAATCAAAGACAACCATTCAGACATCAGCAGTAAAGCTTCTTATACGGGAGAAAAGTTCAAAATCCATCTTAAAAAATTAATGATCTCCACACTCATCTAATATGAATAGAAACGGATATGGCATCACAAAAGTTAACGTCGGAATCTACTCGCCCTAATAAAACTTACAGCGTAAGGTCGCCGAACGCACCTGTGCTAGAAAAGAAGGGAGAAGAAGTTTTACGCGCAGATGCCCTAGAATAGCTCAGGCTGGGGCGCATGAAAAGCGATCGAAAATCGAAATCGTGGCTACAGAAAGAGATCCCTTCTTAGCTTCGATTCTCTGCCCCTTCTATAGCCCGCACCCACCCCGAATTTATAGAATTCCTTAATTCCCCAATATCCAGAACTCAGAACCGGTATATGGGAAACGGAAAGTGGAACTAGATCTGCAGTACGCATGAAATGGTAGATGAGCTGCCGGAAGAAACTGGAGAAAGTGGGGAGGCAGGAGTTGCAGGCGGGGTGGAGTTAAACTATTTTACATTACTACCCGTCAACAATTATATTGCTGATTAACATAATTAAATATTCAAATTTATTGCATCTAAATTACGAAATAGCACAAAATTAATTAGATTTTCAATATTAACTGTATTTGTAAATCTCTATTAGGTTATTATATTATTTAATAATTTATATATTTTATGTATTGATTATCTGATGATGGTTTGGTCACATTAAACGTCGACCATCTGATGATCCGATCAGGAGAGTAGATGTTTTAGATTCGACTTGTGTTAAGAAAGTCAGAGGTAGACCTAGGAAAACTTGGGCTTATTGTATTAAAAATGATCTTAACTTATTAGAACTAAATGAAAATATGACACTAAATAGGACGCAATGGAGAAAAAGGATTCATGTTGCCGACCCCACGTAGTGGGATTAAGGCTTTGTTGTTGTTGTTATGTATTGATTTAATTGTACTGAAAAATAACAAGTAAAGCATAAATTAGGAATACACCTATCCTGTTATAAATGTACCTAGATATTCTGTTGTTTTTTTTTTAATCTATTTCAGGTTTTGAAGTATATTAAATAAAAAGAGAAAACTAGGCATTCCATCTAATTTCTATGACCAACTTGTTTAGGATTAATTTAAATAAATTTATTTTTGAAATTTAATATAAAAATATTTATTTTAATATTGATCAAATATAAATTTTAATTATTTACTCATACATTATATTACTGTTGAATTAAATTAAATAAATTCTAAATTTAGCATAATAAATTTTGATAATAATATTTCATTCTAAAATGAATATTTTTAAATTTGTAGTGAATTATATTTAAAAATATAAATCATTTATTTTGTATTAATGATTCAAAGGAGAAAAAACTAAAGATAATTTATTCTAAAAATATTTAATTGTTTTCTTATCATGACGACATAAAAAATAAAAAATAAAAAATATTTATAAAAGTTTTGAATATAATATAATAAATTTTTAATATATTTTTATAAAAGACTAATTGATTAAACGTGAATAATATATCTCTTTAAATATTTTAAAATAAATTAATAAAATTTTAAGATATTTAAATGCAACTCCCTAATTTGTTTTTTTCCAAGAAATATGTTATTAATACAACTTTTCACATGTTTAAAAAAGTCATGTTCAATATTCTAACATCAATAGACTAATAATGTTAGGGAGATTTATATCCATACCATAGCTATAATTTCATGCTAATTCAACCTTTTTAACACCCTAATTTGGTTACTATAGACCAGTAATTGCTAGTTCGAGATGGCATTAATTCGGGGCGGGGGGGGG